GCGAATGGTAGCAAGGCAAGCAGCTCACCACTAAGTCTCTATAGATGATCAACTACGAGCCTGCATGACCACTGGTGGAACTTGTCTCAGTACATGCACACCATAGCAGAAGCGTAGCGTGAGTACGCAAAACAACGCGTACCCAGTAAGTATCTAGTCTAACCTTGAAGAAGTAGTGACGAGGGGTCGACTTGACACTTACTAAAGGTCAATAATAATAATAATAATAGTGCATAAAGTAGACATGGTGAGCATACAACAGGTATCAATGAGACAAATAGAAGCAACTACAATAAATACAACAGGAGTCTATAACACATCACCAACATATTATAACTGTTGTGAAGTCACTAACTCAATAATACCCAAGCTGGAACTGTTTTGTTGAGGTATACCTGGAAGTACTTGCGAGACGAGAGGACATGGATTTTTCATAGTTTATTTAGTATTCCCCAATTTTCCGAAATAAGAAGGCTAAGTCGATAATTGCAAAATTCACTCCCTAGTGTCAGCTCTATTCACGATAAATAATACGCATGATAAACTTTAACGGTACAATTAGAAGCATGATGTGAATATAAATCTACCCGGGCATATCATGGACTATAGCTTCGCACGAACTCTCGTCACCTCGTATGTACGTAACTCCCCACACAAGTAATACACAACAAAGATACACCTAAGGGGATGAGTTCCCTCTTACAAGATTAGGCAAGAGACTTGCCTCGTTTTCAAGCTCACTTCTGGTCCACTAATCCGCTCTAAAAGCCCCAAGTTGATGCCGAACAATCTGAAACTAGTCAAATGCTATATAATTTGATCAATATATACTCAAAAGTTCATAATTTATCTATTAGAGTAATTACCCAACCCAAATTGAAAGATTCCTAAAATTCACCCCTAGGACCACGTGCCTGTATTCCGGAAATTTTTGAATATAATTGTTACCCATAGCCTCACGAACTCAAATATATAATTTTTACCTAATTTCATAATCATTTTCGTGGTCAAATCCCATTTTTATCAAAATTTAGATTTTTCAACTAAACCCATAATTTCTACAATTTCATTGTTAAGAATCTACCCAAAATTCGCGTATTAATCTCACATTAAGTAGTAATTACTTACCTCACAATGATGGGTGAAACATCCCTCTCCTAGAGCTCCACAATCGACCACCCCAAGTGAAAATGAGAGAAAAAGAACCTAAGTCTGATTTAAATGCACCCTCACTGCCCTTGGCGATTTTGCACATGTGGAAGCATCGCCGCTTCTGCGGGGCCAATCCTGCGATCAATTGTTCGCATCTGCGGAACACGCACGACCCAGGACTGATCGCACATGCGGCCAAGCTCCATATTTGTGAACCCTCTTCTGCGGCTCGGCTCGCACCTGCGACCATGGCCATGCTGCCTCCCTCCGCATCTGCGGTCCCTCCATCGCAAAAGCGAGTTCATTTTTGCGAAAAAAGCTTCGCTTTTACGGACACTGGCCATCCCACTCCCAGCCGCTTCTGCGATTGTTGGCTTGCTCCTGCGAGCTCGCACCTGCGGCTAATTCCTCACAGGTGCGAAAACACCTGACCTGAAGCCACCAGCAGTCCCTTAAGTCCAAACCGAATCCGATTCCAATCTGTTTCGCATCCAGGGGCCCCAGGACCCATCCAATTACACTCACACATCCAACAACATAATACGGACTCGCTCACGTGGTCGAAATACCAAAATATCATCTCGAAATATGAATCGGACGCCAAAACGCATGAATTCGACATTAAACTCAAAAACCTTTAAAAACACTTCCGCACGTTTGATTCCTATCAAATCAACTCGGAATGACGCCAAAATTTGCGTACAAGTCTTAAATCACCGTACGAAACTATTCCCAGGCTCGGAATCCCAAACGAACCTCGATAACACTAAAGTCTACTCCAAACCAACTTTAAAAACTTGGAAAACCTTCAATGTGCCAACTTTCAATATTAATCGTTGATACGCTCTCGGATCATCCTAAACCCAATCCGAACACACTCCCAAGTCCAAAATCATCATACGAACCTATTAGGACCATCAAATCCTGGTTCCGAGGTCGTTTACTCAAAACGTTGACTCAAGTCAAACTTAACTATTATAGGCTACTATTAAGGAACTAAGTATTCCGATTTCAACATGAACCCTTCCAAACCTAAACCAACCATCCCCGCAGGTCAAAAAATAATAAAAGCTCCTACGTAGAGTCTTAATTAGGGGAACGGAGATCTAGAAAGTAAAACGACTGGTCGGGTCGTTGCACCCAAGGCCCCGGGGACCCCATCCAAACATACCAACAAGTCCTAAAATACGATACGAACTTAGTCGAGGCCTCAAATGTCATCAAAAAATATCAAAAACACGAATCGCACCCTAATTCAAGCCTAATGAAACTAATGGATTTTTAATTTCTACAATCGGTGCCGAAACCTATCAAACCAACTCAGATTGACCTTAAATTTTGCACATAAGTCATAAATGACACAACGGACCTATTCCAATTTTTGGAACCAAAATACAAGCCCGGAAACCACAAAATCAACTCGCGGTCAAACTTCTCAACTCTCCAAACTTTAACTTTTCCAACTTTTGCCAATTCAAGCCAAAATCACCTACGGACCTCCAAATCAATATCCGGACACACTCTTATGTCCAAAATCACCATACAGGGCTATCAGAACCATCAAAACTCCATTCCGGAGTCATTTACACCCTAGTCAATATCCGGTCAACTCTTTCAATTTAGGCTTCCAATCTTTGCATTAAGTGTCCCAATCCATTTCGAAGCATCCCCAGAACCAAACCAACTACCCCGGTAAGTCACATAACAACAAATGAGCATAGAATAAGAAATAAATGGGATAAAGGGGCTACAATACTCAAAATGACTGGTCGGGTCTTTACATTCTCCCCCTCTTAAATAAATGTTCATCCTCGGGGCTACATCTACTGGTAAGAAAAAGAGTCACAGGTAGAACAATTAAGAGAGCAACACTGGATGAAGTGCACTACATGGGAACTAATTCAAAACACTAGGGTTATACGATAGTGGTTGAATGTTTTCTCTTATGGTTAATACAACACAACCCAGTACTGGGTAACTATATTTTTTGGGGAAAAAATGGTTAAATGTAGGGATTGTAGGTAGGATTTTAAATACCAAGATAGGCGTTTAAGGTAGGGTTTTAAGTTGCAAACTGGATTTTTTTCGTTTTTAGTAATGTCAAGATGTGAGTATTTTAGTTCATCATTTTGTATTGGTTTTAATCTTGTCAAGTCTTTCATTTTTGTACTTGTTGCAACTAGTCATATTTTGTTAGTTTAGTCCTTTAAATTCAAAGCAAGTAACAATAAAATGAAGCATTTAACAATGACAATTATAATACCACACGTTTAAACTCATTACAAAACAAATCCAATAACTTCAAAATGAATTTATCTCAAATCAAATTAAATAAGTTCCAAACTTAAATCATCTCAAACTAAACGGTCAAGTCTTTCACTTCCCAGTTTGCTTCATTGTTTAGATCAGGCAAGCTACTCTATGGTGGTACTGTTGCATCATCTTGATGTAATTAGAGTAAAGAATACTAATAAGCATAAGCAATGTATTTATATTAAAAAATAATTAATCAAATTTGTTATACTTTACCTTAATTTCTTTCGCTAGCCGAGGAGTTCCTCCTCTTCTACCACTACATCTACCATGGCCTCTACCGCCACCTCTACCACTACTTCTACCACCACCTCTACCCCTCATATTACCTATAACTCCACTTCTACCACCCGGTTGTGAACTTCTAAAGTATGAATCAATTTACCCTCGATATCTATTCAACCTTGGACGTCCACGAGAGGCTATATATCTAGGATCTCTTATATTTCTTTCTTCACCCTCACCCTCACCCTCACCCTCACTCCCACCCTCACCCACACCATTATGTATATCTTTCAATTCTCAGTTTGAAACTATCATATCATCCCAATTCAAAAGGTCATGCTCCAATCTGTTCAAATCATACTTAATATATTGCCTCATCACTTTAGTATCCAATACAATATCACAAACCCGTTCAAAATGTTTCAATAGTTCCCTGTATATCATGTAAAGAAATGTTTCAAGTGTGGACGAACAACATCTCTTCTCTGCCTTTTCAATATATACCTCTCATTAACGTTTTCAATCCTCTTATGAGACAACACCTTAAGTATATGGCATCATAGAATACTTCGTGTTTCAAACCACTTGCATATGCAACTTAGATATTCGCCAATATGTGTATATTCAACCATGAAGATAAATGGATCTCTAGTGTTAAAACTCTTGAGCGAATAATCAGTTATAATGTATTTCTCCACTCTAGGATTTTCTTGATGATCAGGGGTGCTGATTTCATAATGGTACAGTTTTCTTAACTGTACTTGAAAAAATTCAAATACTTCATGAGTATAACATGCTTGAAGTTTTTCCTCCCATGCGAATTCAGATAAACATTTTGGTTCAAAGCACCTTGACCTATATTCAGCTTCCAATTCTTTCTCGAACTTAGCTCTTATGGCTAACTCATATTGCTGAACAAACAACTTCAAAGTACTTTGGCGGGTGATAAATCCATCAAAAAAGCATGCATTCCTTCACTTCTTTGTGTGGACAACATGCCAGCCCAAAAGTGGTCATTTAGGTATACAGGAAATTATTTTTCTTTTCCAAATAAAACTTATAATGATTATAAGCTTGTCACCGAAGAACTTGAGTAATGATTATGATTATGTGTCCCCTTCTTGCAATTGAAGCTTTCTACTCTTTAGAATATAATTTCTACGGTCCTTTGGGGTACAACCCAAATTTTCGGAGCCACCAACAAGTACTCCAGCGACTTTTATATTTTTGTAGGGTCTTAAGCGAGCAATAACTTTGGCTGTAAGAGCTCTCTTAAGAGACTTACTCAGCGACATGTGTCCAGCCATCAATCACGATAGTGCTGGTTCCAATTGATGATTATGCTTTTTAACCACTTTTGAAATACGCCATGAACCATTCTCCTCCAAAATTCCATTTATTCTAGCACGACAGTTCCTCCTCTTGGTAACATACTTGTTCCTTGGTTTCGTAGACCTATCACAACCATATTGCACTTGCCTTACAATATCACCACCTTTTTTGTTTGATATTTTTTTGACAATACAAAACCCTGATAATCTTGCATATTCTTTGTAAAAATCAAACATAACATCCTTATTATTAAACCGCATTCTAGTAATTGGACCTATTACTAGATCTTTTTCATTAAACTCATTAGACATTTTCCTATCATCTCCACCTTCTCCCTCTTCCTTTAAATAATGGTCGTCATCATCATCATTATCATCAGCTGCAGCAGCAGCAGCATCGTCACTATGATCTTCTCCATCATTAAAGTTGCCATCTGAATCAATGTTGACCCACTCACTTCATTCATCAAACTATCGTCTGAATTCAACCCTAAAGATATGTGTAATGCATTCCTTAGTTGCTCCGACCTAGTTTCTAGGTTGTTGTTCAAGTTTAATTGGCTTCGAACTAGTTTCTTGGTTAGCATTCATGTTTAGGTTAAGGGAATGGTGGTGAATTATATGTTTAATAAAAGCTCTCTTATCATATGTGTATGGTATAACAACGTTACTCTATTTATATACCGTATAAATTTTTATTTAACAATATATGTATACATATGAAGGCTTTTGATCTTCCCATCCGTATAAATTTTATTTTAAAAAAATACATAACAGTATGTGTATACATACGAAGGCTTTTGATCTTCCCATGAGAGAATGATGAATTTATGGGATCAGTGTTTTGGGATAATCAATAGTTATTAATTTGTTTGGGAGGAAAATATTTTGGAGGGAAATAATGGTTGTTAAGCCAAATATGAAATCAAGGGTTTTAAGGTCTTTACACGGGTGTGGCCATCGTTGGCCATTATTAGTGTGGCCAAATAGCAGCTCTCATAATTTAAATTAAATTAATACTCCAACAAGTGCTTTAGCTTGCTTTCGGAAAGTGCGAAATGCGTGGATCTTTGAGTCAAATCTGTTTCTATAATCAAGTCCTAAGATTATAATCATCACCATAATCCTAGAATTTGTTGGTGGTTTAATCATTAACAAAACAGTCCTTTATTTAGCAGGCTTTTAATGCAAACCTAAACATATTTATTATTTACTTCCAATACATGTGGAGATGTAGCATAAAAATGAAGGAATCAAATTTAAAACAAATCATCTAATAAACTCATGAAATTTAGTTACTTTTAATAAAAAAGAATCTTTTCAAGTGGCTGGGTAACCTTTTGAATATTGAGGGAAATTGCGGAGGAGGAAGTCATCTGGATGAGTGGTCATCTCTTTTTAGTCCATGATATTTGGTTATTTATCTATCTCTGTATTCTTATTTATATTTTTCCGTTATGAGTTTAAATTTTCTCATTAATGTAGAATTTCTATAATATATGTATTGTAATTTTGCGAAACGTAATGACTTATAATTTTAGCTTGTCACTTGTAGGCATCTAAAATTTATTGAATTTAAATCCAATAATTATTTGGATTATATTTTAAATTCAATATATATATNATCTAATATATATGAATTAAATAAATAAGTCTTAATTCATTGGGCTAGCCCATTTAATTGGGCTAAAGTGATAAGCCCACTTCATTAGGCCCAAGATGCCATCTTCTTAAAGGCCCAGTTTGGTGCCACGTGTCAAATGACGTGGCGCGCCAAGTCAAACGGAAGAGCCAATAGGATCATGTCACGTGTCAAAATGACAAGGCATGTCAAGTCACATTAGAAGACCAATGAAATCGCGTCACGTGTGCAAGTGACATGTTTTGGCCAATCAAATACGGTCATGTCACATTTCAATTTGATTGGTCGGAAAGAATTTGTTATTATCACAACTCCTTCCTTCCACAACTATAAATAAGGGTCTTCATAACTCAGAAAAGATGTCAAAAGTTATAACAAGAAGCAAGAAGGAGCTCGTGGATCAAATACTGTAAATTCCTCTACAAGTTTCAAGCTTCAAGCTCAAGAACGAAGAACAAATCAAGTTCAAGCTCAAGAACGAAGAACAAAGGTCAAGTTCAAGCAATCAAGCTCAAACTCAAGAACAAGATCATCGTTCGTGGCAACAACTACATATTCAAGATCAAGCTCAAATGCCCTTGAATTTATTTACTATTGGAAAGAAAAATCAGATGATTCATAGGGATTGTAACACTCAAATATTTGAAATAAAATACTACGATTGTTGCGATATTTTTCGGTCTTGATTTTATTTTCTTGAGGCAAATTTATTGTCTACAAATTCTGGCACGCCCAGTGGGACATTCGCTACCTCTCATCTCAACTTTTCAATCACCAAAGTTCAGGAATATTGAAATGGCTTCAAAGAAAATCAACTCCGGTTTAACTTCCACCAAGGCTACTAATTCCAGGTTCTATGCTGATGTGGAAAGCATCCTCGATGTTACCTTTGGAAGCTTTGGACCAGTTACGAGGAGCAAAGTAAGCTCGTTAGGACAACAAGCACCCTAAGTGTCGTCCGCATCAACCCTTGTTTTCGGATCTTCATCCTCAAAAGGAGCATGATCTTTCACAAATGCACCCGAAGGAGGAAGCGATGTTGCTGAAAAGATCAAGAAAACTCTTGCTCTGCTTGACCTCTCCGGATCCAAGAACTCTGTTGTGAAGGAAGATGATGATACTTCAAGTGATAGATCCTCCCCACTTACACCACATAGCGTGAGCCAATCAAGGATCAATCTCTGTGAAAATCTATGCTACTCTCCATCGTCCACGACAATCATGCAAGCCATGGTGACAAATAGCCAGCCACTCCTACAAATGTCCATAGCCAGCCTCTCACACCTCCATACTGGTGCATTCGCGTATCTCCTCTGCACATGCCGGGACCATCTCAATCTCGCTTAATCGCATCTTATCTTCCGCAGAGGTCACTCCCACCTTGCCTCGGATATCTTCATATCTTATCCTATTTCTCCTAATATGACCATACATACTAATTCAGCCCCATCTATTCATAATTAAATGATTGTAACCAAAAAAAATTGAAAAAGAAATAAAAATCCATTATCTTTCATTCCACTTCAAAGAGCCCTTTTAGCTCATTTCCCCACCAGGTTGTCCCCTTTGGCACAACTACTGAAAGAATGAAACACATTGAACAACAAAAAGAACATCCTAAAATTTGGTGGAGAAGAAGAAATATGCTCGAGCAATAGAAAAAAGAATACTGAAGAAAACCGTAGAAGTTGCCTAATTGGAAATCACAGAATTTCAAAAAATAAATTAGAAGTTTTTCACAATTACGAAACTAGAACATGTAATGGACTTTAAAAATCACAGGTTGCTGCAAAGAACCCAAATTTCTCTTCTAAATCTTACCATTTGAATGTTCTATTATCAGTAGAAAGCTCTTATCATTCAAGAAATCAACACCATCACGGTTGCGATTCAATATGATTGGTATAATGAAGCAATTGCTAGTTAGGGCTACAAAAATCTTTATACCAATTTTAAATACAAGTTTAGTTGAGGTTTTAATAAGTTATGACCAAACATGTCCTCCGTCAACCTTCTTCTGTTTCTTCTTTCTCTTCTTTTCTTGTTTTGTGCCTTCCCTTGCTTCAATACCTTTTGTGTGTATCTCCCATAATTTAGTCTTTGCATTTCCAAATGGAGCATCCGACCGTGAATACATCAATTGCTGAGGACATCAGAAATATAGTCTATTCACACCTCATGAACTTGGAAAAGAGTCTCGACAGAAAATCAAAATCGCAAAAGACCTACCGCGCGATGATGATCCATTGCAGCTAAGTTGACACCGAGGATATCTTTGCGTTCCTGTGACAGTCAGACAATTCATATCAAAAGTAGAATCCCACAGTGGTTCTCCATTTACAAGCTTATTTATAAAACGGAAAAGGGTCAAAATACCTCTAAAGTATGCGAAATTCATAACATTTGCCCTTCATTAATAGTTAGCCCAACCCAACCATATCCCTGTCGTTAATTATTTGGGCCCTTATTGCACATAAAACTTAACTGAGCATAATTAGAAGACTAACAGGGGCACATTTGGACCTACACGCAATTATGCAACCACTTGTGAAGTCAAAATCTTTATAAAACGATAACATAATGGGATGATGTGTGCAGGTAGTGGAAGTCATGGACATGGTTGAATAGTTTCGTTTTTTAGAGAAGAAAAAAACAAGGAACATTTTCAACTTTGCTAAAATCTCTCAAGAAAGGCATAGCAAATGTGCTCATCGAACTTACCTTAACTCTTGCACGAATGTCTTTTAGTTTGGTCAAGAGGGGTTTAGCAGAGAGAGTTGAAACCAGTTGGTGATGATAAAGTTGCAATAACAGTGTTGCTACCCTAATAACAAGCTCCAGCTGCAAAAACAGTATAAGGGGTAACTACAGTGAAATTCAAGATTTGACATAGCTTGTAAACAGCACAAGACAGGAACTTCATTCAAGCAAAGCATACTTTCTACATTTACAAGTCCGAAGACATTATATTACCTAGTTGAACGTGCAAAAATTTGCCTTACTTTGTACAGACACACATAAGAAAAAACAATTGTTGATTGCTACTGAAATTACCCATTCTCCACTCCTTTGGAGATTGACCTTAATATCAGAAGATCCTACTCAATTATTTTGTTTTACAAAAAAAGCACAATATTTGCGTTATAAATATATATGCAACAAATTCAACATGTCCTTGAAAGGAAATAACACCTTATCTGGTATAGAGGCCCAATTCTCCAGGTATGACATGAGCTTCAAAGCATAAGAAAAGGGTAAAGGCTGCAAGGATTATTTAAAATATAATCAAAAATCAAAAAATTGACAGGATACAAACCATTTAAACTCAATTGAAAAGCCAAAATCAGAGAGATACCAAATGTTAATCTGTGTAAAGCTTGGAAAAGTTGAATTATGGATTCTGTGAGATTGAGTAGGATGATAACACACTATTGGAGTCAATCATTAGAGCGATTAGAAAAAACTAATGGTAGGTTTTTCAATGATGTCATTCTACAAGACAAGATGCTAACAGAAGCTACATGATATGATTTAGGAAAAACATAAGTATGGAAAAAATATAAGACCCTCTTGAGATTAAACTTAAAGATTTCCATTTTGGGCTTGTTTCAAATTAATTTCACGACCCTCAGAAGGAAGTTTTATCTCTTATTACGCACCATCAGAAGTTAAATGGGACGGACCAATAAGCTTCCCATTATCAAAAATAAATTTATTCTGGCCCCCACATTTAGGCACAGTGTCTCCAAGTAGCAATTTGCAAACTTAAGCTCAATAGAATATGCATGGTAAAGCTTTAACCTCAAGTGTATGGAATCGCCAAGATGACATTTGAATTGAAACAGTTGAATAACATTTCAGGTCAGGAAATAATTACTAAAAAAAAGCTCATTTTCCTAATTAAGATGAAATCATTACTTCAAAATAGTCAGTTACCTGGAAAGCTTGCTCCAGATCATTAGTATGAACACTAGATAATGTACGAAGAAGATAATCAGACGGAGAAAGCCCAAGCATGAGAATATTCGGCCTGAATTCTGAAACTCTGCCCTTTGATTTATCCTCCTACATGTAAAACTAGTATTCAGCATTCATGAATTAGCAAGTCAAAATTTATGATGACAGTTTCCTTTTTTATTGAAGAAAATTCACTAGCCACTTATTACCCTCCACATCCAATCACCCAGTTCCAAAGAAAAAGGAGAGCAAGGAAAAGACACATATATTTGACAACCTTTATTCACATTTTCTCTATAAAAATCTTGTTCATCAGTTACACTCAAATTATTTGGATAATTCAAAAATCATTTTATGAATGTTGTATCAAGTAGGCTTCAGTCTATACAAAAAGATTACATCAAACTAAAACCACTCTACTCTATTTTCATTCTTCTAACTCTTTTTCCAGTAAAGGAAGAACAATAATTAAGAAGATGCTTCCAGGTAAACAGAAACTAAACCTCATGTTGAGCAATTCGCTTCAGTTCCGCATCTGCCATGTCCAGTGCTTCAATGATAGAATCTGTAGCAGTAAGAGTTTCTTGAGTCTTTTTCCCCGCTAATGCCACAGCTCCCTCCTCTGGAAGTTCTTCCTTTAGTCCGTACTTATTCTCAAATCCATTGTCAATGTCTGATTCAAACATCTCTTCCAATCTCTTCTCTTTCTCTTCCTGCAAATCCAAGTAGCAAGTAAAAACTTTGCTTAAACTGTCTAAAGCTGATGCAGGCATTAATTAATTTACACAGAATACCTCAAGAAAAAATAGTTGTTCAGTACGATCCCAACGGCGTATGGACCGATCATGAGATCCTGTGACAATAAAATCACCAAGGTTGCTCATAGCAAGACAGCAAACTTCAGCATGGTGATCTTCAAGGGTTAAAAGCAACTCAAACTTGTCAGCATCCCAGTACTTCACCAAGCGATCTCTCCCCGCAGTAAAAAAGTAATGGGTTTTGCGCACAAACTTAACTCCCGTAACGCTGCCACGAAAGCAACAGAGTATCAGCATTTGTTAGTAGTAAAACGCTACCTACTAGATTACTTAATACTGTAATCAAAGCACCTATCAGCATGCGCAAAAAGTGACTTATGACAATCCCCGAAGTCTAGACCCCAAATCTTCACATTTTTGTCCGCAGACCCACTGACAAGCAGATCCCCATCTGAAGAAATATCCATACACAATACAGGCAGATTGTGACCGTAGAGTGAAAGAAATAACTTGAGTGAATCCATATAGTAGACCTGAAAACATATGGACGTCATAAGTATTAAGATCAGACAGAAACAGGAGCCTTAATACAAATGCATTCAGTAGACTACAAACAACAATGATGCAACAGAAAAACAACTGATTTAAAGGTTTTAACAGTGTAATGAAAACAACCTAGACAGAAAATTTGGAACCTGATTTTAGGATCTTGTCTCAGTCACAAACCTTTTCAAGGCTGTTCAAATGGGTATAAGTTTGGGAACAAGATATTTTAGGAAGTAGGTTGACTTTTAATGAGGACCTTATTATCAGGTTTCTCTAGTCAGCTTACTATCATATCACTTTAACTGGAGAAAACCATTGTTTGATTTTGCTTGACAAGTTCTGGTTTTAATTACTTTCACGTCCTACTTCAATGCATAATAGTTTCACCAACAAACGTAATGAGCTCTGCGATAAAACATCAAATGTATTTTTTATAAGAAGCAATGAGTAAGCCAATGAATAAAACTAGTATTAGGAAATTGAACAGAAATATATATGGTGAACAACGCGCAAAGCCTTAAAATCTGATACGACAAGCAGCATTTGTTTCTCATAACATAGGTACCAAATAATGTTTCTACCCACCATCTTAAGGAAACTGAAAATGGAAAATGTTGTTGACTGTAGTAGGTAACATTGCTATCACCGTCAAAGAAATTACTTAAGAAGAGCTTAACTTATAATGTTACACAATACCCCTTTATTTAAAAAAAATGTTACACCAAGATAGTTGATCAGACAATTTCACAAATACTTTGATAAAGAATACTTCCAAGTCCTAAGAGATGAGGATTTCCAACTTTAAAGCTGTTCTTCAGAAATCACAACATGGACAATTCAAATAAGTTAGACTCTTACCTTTACCATGTTATCCAACAAGGCAGCAGCAATAAATTTACCATCAGGGCTCGCAGCAACCACTTGAACATCATCATGCAGTTTTAAGCTCCTTGTGGGAGATGCAGTTAAATGCTTAGACCCCTGTATCTGTATGTCCATAAATAGAACCCATCATTATTCACCAGCAGGAATATTATACAGGTTCTCTTATCCAATCAGAAACTAGTGCATGTCAAAAACAAGAGCGTGGTTGTAGGAATCCCAATCCAATTTTGTATCAAGGACTTGACATATTTATATTAGATAAATGCCTATCCAGCTGCCTCAGTGTGCTGATCACTTCCACAGAAGTACTAAAATACAGCAATTAATTATTACAGTATATTAGTATGTGGTGAAGTGTAAATATTCTTTTTCATAGGAATCCAAGGGTCTCTCTCCTAAACCAACCAACATGAGATCCCAACATTTGGAATCATAGTGCAGATAACAGCACTACACTATGCAGAGTAATGACGATTTGGTATCTGTTTCTATATAGAGAAAGTTAGATTACGTACTTCACCAGCCTTTTGCACCATTTGAAATTCCCAGAATTTAATGTCCTGATCGGCACTGCTGGTGAGAAAACCTGTTCCATCTGAAGTTAAAGCAATTGACTGAACAGCACCGCCATGGGCTTCCACTACTTCCACACAAGTAGCGCTCCTAACGTCAATAAATTCCAGGGTCCCACCTTTTGTACCAACAACCGCATACTTGTTACCTGGAACAAATAGTCCACAGAGACCATATCCTGAATCAATTGTGTGGAGGCAAGAACCAGTAGTAGGGTTCCATATTTTAATTCCACTGTGACTAGTCGACATCAAAAGAGCGTTATCTGAGCTGAGAGTAACACTTGTGACAACAGCACGATGCCCCTGAAGCTCAATAGCGCTCAATTCAGTAGTTGAACTGCTTTCTATAGCATGAAATTCCAATAAATTATTGTTCAACGACAATGCTAAGGTAGCCAGTGAATTCTTTGAAGTAACTGGGGAGAAAGAAATTGAGGAGATCTTCTTTCCAGCCCGTAGAGTCTGATGAAGCTTGAAGATATCCAGAACTGTAACAACAGGATTGCTGCCTCCAATATCTGCCTCTCCTTTATCCGTTGCCTCAAGGCCTTCTTTGGCAGCTTTCTTCTGCTTCTTTCTACTGACTCTTCTTTTCGCTTTGCGTTTAGATTCAGACTCGTCCAGCACACGGAATATTTCCACCATCTTCCCTGCAACTTGACAAGCCAACAGGTTTCCACACTTGTTAAACCTCACTGTTGCAACTCTATCCTTGCTTTGGCGTTGAATTTCACCAAATGACTTGAGTACTTCCCATTTGTTATCAGTAGGCAAGTCCTTATTTACATTTGTTTCGCTTTTTTTAGCTATCAATTGTCCATCAGCAAAATCACGCTTTATAGTGTAAAAGCGAAGCTCGGGGTCAGCAGAACCAGTGACTAGATATCTTTCCTCAGGGTCAATATCTATGGACCAAATTTCAGTATGATGGCCACTTATAATCTGCATGCAATGTTGAGTATCAAGATCCCATACCCTTAAAAATTTGTCCTTAGAAGCTGTTGCCAGTTTTTTGCCAGAATCTAAGAAAACAAGATCAGTAACCTGCAGCAGCATATGGCAATTAATGGAACATAATTAGACACATGATGAAGTCAGAAATGAAAAATACGTTAATTATTCCTAGATTGAAGATAGTATGAACCTGATCACGATGTCCCCGAAGGCGAAACAGGCCAGTCTCACCCACCACATCCCATAAAATAACGTCATTATCTTTGCTTCCAGATGCTAGTAATGATCCAAGCTTACTGTATCGAAGGGCCGTCACAGCCCCTTTATGCCCATTCAGTGTTGTTTCACATATCCCTTTCTCGGAATCCCAGATTCTAATGCTTCCTTCAGCATAACCACTTGCTATCTGCAATTAAGTCCAATTTATCACTACTAAAACCATGAAAACAAATCTTAAGTTTCACAACCTTTTCCTATGAAATAACCACTATAAGAAACACATGATGTGTCCATACAACACGTCATGCACTATACACCACTTTTATTGTTGAACAAAATCCCTAGGAGCATACGGGAAATAATAATAATTACCGGGAAAAATCATACTTGAAATAATATTTCCCAATTTACCATACCTGTATCAGAACTTATCCAAAAAACAAATCAATCAATCAAATACACCTCAAGACCAAACTAGTTAGGATTGGTTATATGAAAACTTCCAAGTTCATTCTGCTTATTTGGACCCATTTCATTCCACTACTCAATAAAACCTAGAAACACACTACCTAATGTAAGTGAGAAAATAACAACTAATAACTCTCAAACTAGTTGGTATAGCCTGCCACATAGACTGCTTGAACCAAGCTTTTATTATAAGACATGCTATATTTTCTTCCCCCATTGCTAGTAGGTTGATGATAGAGTGTTTGCTTTCATTGTGTTATTATCTTAGCTACATTTTTTAGGTCAATCGCATTAACTTTATGATTTTAGGCCTACCCCATTCCCTTTCTAGCACCAATTATCTACATCCATTTCCACTTCAACTGCAAGTCTATGAAAGACATGACCAAAGAAAATAAAAACAAGTATAGCCTGACCTCTCTATAAAAATTATCCTCCATAACAGTATTTACCAACTATTCTGCAATGAGTGAAAGGCTATCAATGCTTCCAGAGCTTCCAACTCAGCTCTTTTTTATGTCATCTTCTGGTCTCTGTTTGCCTCTACTTTTCATGTCAAGCGTACAGTCTAGGTTAGTGGAATTGCGCTACGAAATCCTCCCTCCATACCATGACCGGAGTCTTACAAGACTTAGACAGCTTCGAGGTTCAAATAAAATAGTATGAGTTGTAAAAGTGTTAGACCTATATAGGACCACCTTTGGTCGGTCTCATCCTCTACTTAATTTTTCATGTAATTTTATACTCCTATTATATAGTATTCTTTATAACAGCAGCAGCAAAAAAAACTATCAAAACAAACGAAGCTATAGAGAGTTCTAACAATTGTATCAAACAAAGCAGTGTTGCAATGACAAATACAACTGAAATTTCGAAATTGTCTCCAGCACTATAATTAACAGGTACAAAAAAGGAAGGAAAGAGAGATAGATGATTTACATGGGATGATGAAGAAGAGGAAGCAATTGATGTAACGGCAAGGGAAGGTCCTTTTTTTAAGTTAGATGACGGAGCTAGGGTTTTGGTACAAACACCTTGCCTCACATGCCATACACCGATTTTCTCTAACGCCGCAGCTAGCAGGTGTTTGCCTGAGCTGTCATAGGCTATAACTCCCGATGATATAACTCCAAACGAGACCGCCGGCTCGTACCTGTGGTAACCCTTCACCATTGATTAATGTATTGTAGGTAAGGTATGTTGTTATAGTTGAAACCGCTAGGCTAGGTTTAAACTCTAATTGGGTTTTTTTTCATATGCTTTTATTTATAATAGTTTTTACATTGCCTTAAATCTTCAGTCAATTATGTTATATATAATAATTTTTTATGTCAATTTTTTCATGTCTATAGTCGTTTTTTCAATAGAATGACTAAACTATCGTCTAATTTTAAATCAAAATAGCGCATACCTTCAAATTGTGCTGATAAATATATACACCAATATTTTACTTTAATGCAAGAGTTATGCATTGCCTAAGTTGAAAACCTACTTGTTTTCACGTCCCGGCTGCATGGCCATGCATTTCGTTCCTTCTTACATAGTACTATTCATGATAATTAATAGGAGAACACTTTGGATTTTTATAAGCTTTTCTGATACAGTAGCTAGTATATATCGCCTTCCACAATGGCTATAGTTTTTGTTTAACCAAAAAGTAGTTTTGTGGTCAAAGCAAATAAAAGAATAATCCGAGTTTCTAATAACCAATATTACTTCACTTTTTCTAATATAGATGAATCGCAAATAATAAAAATAAAATATTAAGAGAATAAGAAAAAAAATATATTGATAATCGCAGCTTTCTTCCAAAAGGTGTAAATAAGATCTTTAAGTAGCAAAGAAAATATAAGCGATCACTAATATAATTTCGGGAATTTATTGATGATCTTACAAGATATGGTAAAGGAGATTTATATAAGGGTACAATATGTAATTGTCCTGTCCTTTTTAATTCCTATCCGTTACTAATATTTATTACATTGATTACGCGTTACATGGGTGATTTATACGTAATAGTTATGGTAATAACAACCAATCGCGCAAAATCAAGGATTATGCTGATTTCTTTCCATATTCGCGGCTATTAATGAACCTTCCTTCTTCTTTGTCTTTAGTTATCCATCCCGCACCTATTTTCTTTTTTCCAACTGTCAGGTATGATATCTTTGTAGACGATCCCGTGGGTGTTTTACTCATGCCTTCTCTAATCTTCACTCTCCTTTATTGTTTTGACTCTTATGTCACCTGTCAACATATTATTAGTCCATGTGGAGAGTCTATTTTTTCACCAATACAGATAGTCCCCCACTTTCTGAATATTCTCAACTGAATATTCGGGAAGTGGGGAGTTTATTTATGGTGGGAATGTCTTGCCGCCTCTTCCCGATATCATTATGATTTGCTTCAGAAGTTTCATTTAATGATCGAGACACGTGTCTTATCGTGAGTGGCTCTGCAGTTTGCAGCAGCTTTTTAGAGTTTCTATGGTTGTGTCAGTTCGACGTGACGGTCCATGATGACGTTTTTCCTTATAAATACCGCATCATGCGTCTTCCAAAACTTCATGTACTCTCTTTCATTTTATTGAATCCTCTTTGCAACTTTCTCTTTCTCTTCGTGCTTCTCTCTCTACTAAACAATGACTTCTCAATCTTCAAACCCTTCCTCATCCTCTGATTCTCGTCGTGCTATTATAGTAGACGAACTCCCTTCTTCTATGGCTCCGATTAGAAGTAGGAACAGAGGTGGTAGACCTCGTAGTCTAGGTTCTATACCTAGTCGGAACACTTATTCTTCTAAGAAGAAATCTTCAAAGCCTTCTTCTTCTTCTAAGGCTAAATCCACAACTACTCCTAAATCTTCTTCCAAAATTAGGGATCAAAATGAACCATTGCCTGAACCTTTAGTTTCAGAGATTGTTCCTCAAGAATTTTCTTTCATCTCTGATTGTGAGGCATGGAGTAAAGAAGTTTCCTCCATAGCAGTACTTAATCCTGCTGGCCGTTATCCTTCTCTTATCAAATCCGGTATTCTTCCTCTTGTACGTAGAGAATGCCACTAGAAACCTGACCTCCCAATCATAGCCCCTAGTGCTGATGACCGAATAACCACCTACCATGAAGGCTATTCGTTCATCTACTTTTATCCTTTCACCTTAGGATTCAAGACTCCAATTGACCAAGTGATTATAGAGTTCTATTGTTTTCAACATTTGCCTTCGGAAAATAGGAACGATAATATGGATGGCAGTAGCTTACCTTCGCTACTTGGCGGGTTTAGTTTTCGCCCATTTCACTTTCCTACATCTCCTCCATCTGTATTCTCTGAAGCTTCTTCGCGAGGGTGTTTTCATACTCGCAACAAGAAGTAAATGCATCTTGGTTAGTCCTGAAGATGATCACGATCGAGGCTGGTATGCTCGGTTCATGGCTGTCCCAACTTGTGCTTTAGTGGGAGAAGAAAATATGCCCTTTCCCGAAAAGTGAAATTTTGTACGTAAGTGTTTTCCTTTACTTTTACGTTCTGCCATTTTTCATTTGTTAGAATACTAACCTTCTTACTCGTATTTTCTTCCTTTTCAGCAATCATGGAAGTCTTCGGTAAGCTTCCCGACTTCCACAATTGGGTAGAAATGATGTTATCTGCTGCTCATATTGAGCAAAGATCTTGTAAGTTTCTATCCCAAAAAATATGGTGGAAAGTTAAAACCCATAATATGTTACTTTACTTTACCATTAATTTTTTTCCTTTTTTATTCTTAATTTGACATCCTTTTTAATTTTCAGGATTTGCAATCCACGGAGTTCGTCCCGCTCCAGCTCCTGCTGTTAGACTCGATGATAACACTGCTCGGGAGCGAATTTTGAATGTGTTCTTCAAAGAGGAAGAATAAAGAATCCCTTGCCTCCGATGAAGAGGATAAAGATGAAGGTTCCTTGGTGAAGAGGCCTCGAGTTAGGAGGCAAGTCATTTTGGATGATGAGTACAACGTTCCTCAAGATCATCCTTTAGACTTTGTGCCTTTTCACTTAGTTGATGAACCTGAGGGTGTCCCTCTGGAAATTTCGGAGGATGAAGATGTTGAGCTTGCTTAGACCCCCCTCCCCNTGAAGAGCCACCTCTTGGATCTTGCTACTCTTCCTATGAGTTGGGTTGCTCCCGTTGTTGTCCCTCGAGATGAAGTTGGTCCTTCCACCGGGCGCGGTATGAAACAAGTTATGATCGAAGTCCCTGAGGGTATTAGTTTGCTGAAGAAATCTCACCGAGCTACGGTTTAATTGAAGCCCTTGATCGACCCCCTCGAGAGAAGAAAACTTGACTCTCACTCCTCTATTACTCTAATGAATGATGTAATTCATTCTGCTCTCAAGGTATGTCTTCCTCTTTTACTTTTTTCATTTCTTCCTTCCTTAGGTTTATAACACATTTCTCTTTGACTTTTTTGGATCAACCTAACAGGTACAAAGCTAATGAGAAGATTATCTTGGACTCAGCAACAAGCTGCAGAGTTAAGAACGGAAGCTGATAACTGGAAAGAGCAATTCAAGAGCCTTCAAATAGAGAAGGATGTCTTGGCCGGTGACAAAGAGACACTAGAGCAACAACTTAGGATCACTGTTGTTGAGTTAGCAATAATGAAGTTTTCTTCCAATCAGGTAGAGAAGGGGAAAGCTAGGATGTTGGCCACTATTTCTGAGCAACATTCAAGGGTAACCAAGGAGATTCGAAGTTTAATAGAACTTCTAAATCAAAAAGAAGTGTACGCTGGTGATCTGATCCAGGCATTGACTCAAGCTCGAGAAGATCTTTGCACCTCCTCCAACAAAGTTAATGTCATGACCCAATTTCTCTTATATGCCGTGATGGCTCCCAACATCGCCGCTAGGTAAGCCAACGGTGAACTGACCATGTAATTGTTCTTTTTAATAAATTTCCAAGTAGTTGAAACTCCATTTAATAAGAAAATAAGGAGTAGAAAATTTAATAAAGTGAAGCAAAATCGAATAAGAGAGCAAATGCGGTGAAATAAATACTCCAAAACCATAATGTCTACTAGCATGTGTTCCAATACATGGTGTCACAAGTGCATGAGCGACTACTAGAATAAACAAAATACTAAGCTATTGTTTGAAGTAGAGTAGACAGAAAGTAAATACAAAAGAGAGACTTAGGGTGCTGCAGAACAGACTCATAAAGCAGCTCACCACTAGGCCTCGGGGTAAGGGGGTGCGTGCCGGAATGACTGCCAGATGCACCTACCTCAGATCCTGCACGATTAGTGCAGAAATGTAGCATGAGTACATAAACAACATATACCCAGTAAGTATCCAATCTAACCTCGAAGAAATAGTGACGTGGAGTCGACATCGACACTTACTATGAGCTAACAATGAAATACAGGAATGCTAAATAGACATAGAATATGTGAATAATAATATTAACACAAAGACAACAGTGATTAAATAATTCTTTAACTAATAGTAAATTCTAAAAGTCTTCCACTAACACATACTAATTCCAAATAAATTTTGTACAATTAAATAAATTATAATCTCTCAATCCATGAAAATAATATCAAGTGTATTCGGCTCCAAGCATTAACACGCACAATTTATGCTGAGGTCGCACTGCCCGATCCAGAATAATGTGTACACTGTCGAGGTTTGCGCCATAACCATAGATTTATCTATTATACTGCTGAGGCGTTCGACCCACTCCATAAGAAGAGAGAATATTTTATGAACATCCGATTTAAAAGTAATTATAATGCTAATACACAAGAAGCACAATTTCTATTAACGGTCAAGTAACCCGCCAAAACTCAAGTAAGTGAAATTCGGTCTTTACCAATCCTTTATCAAGTTTCAATATAATTTAGGCACTTTAATTAATAAGTAGGGGTGCAAACATTACAAGTATTTCATGATTTGAGTCCTAAACTACCCGGACTTAAGCATAATTAGTAGCTACGCACGGACTCTCGTCACCTTGTGTGTACGTAGCCCTCACAATTAGAAACAAATAGTAATTTAAATCACCTTTGGGGTAAGTTCCCTCTTACAAGGTTAGGCAAGAGACTTACCTCGTCTCAAAGCTCACTTTCCGGTCACAAATTCACTCTAAGGACCCAACTTGGTGCCGAACAATCCGAAGCTAGCCAAATGTTATATAAAATAATCAATATACGCTCAAAAGTTAATAATTTAGCTATTAGAGTAATTACCCA